AAGAAAACTGTGCAGAAGACGGGACTGCATTAATGTAATGCATACTTTATATACAGGGTGGGTATAAGAGTCACACATGTAATCTGTATATACATATATTTTACACGTCTGTTTTCCATGCCAATAAAGCCCATTTGAATTGAAATGAAATGGTGGTTAAAGGAATTCAGTTGGAATATGGCACATTTGGAGCTGAGGCAAAAAGTTTCAAAATAGATTTTGCACAGATAAATACCATGGGAACATTTAATGAGAATCAGTTGTGGGATGGAAGGTGGGAAAAACACATTTGTAAATCTAAGGAACAATAATATGCTATAGAAAATGACTCCACATGTAAGGCACCCAAATGTGGCATAAATCAGCCAAAACATACTTTGGCTATTGTGAGTTAATTACATTAAATCACATACATGTGAATATGTGTCTCCAGACGTCTTGAAGCGTGGTGGGAATGCGGCTGATGCTGCTGTTGCCATAGCAGCGGCACTGGCGGTAACAGAGCCGTGCAGCACCGGTCCTGGTGGAGACGCCTTCTGCTTGTTCTACAACGGAAACACTGGAGAGATCAGAGGACTTAACGGCAGGTGGAGACTCTTTCTGCCTCACTGGAGTTGTTGTTGTCCTCAGAATACACAATGATTAGCTGAGCCTCTCTCTGTGTCCTCTCTCCTCAGTGGTCGTTCACCCAAAGCTCAGACCCTGGACTTCCTAGAGGGTCGGGGTTACACTGCAGAGGCCCCTCCTCCGCCCTTTGATGCCTTGAATATCACAGTACCGGGGGCCCCTGCATGCTGGTGTGATACTATACAGCTGTTTGGTAGTCACAAGGTTTGACTGTATTTTCTGTGTTTCGTGTATATGTTTTGTGCTTAATGCAACATCCCATCAGCGCCATCTAACATAATCATTTACATGACATAAACAACCTTCAACATAAACACTGCAAAACGAACCAACCACACACTACCAGCACACCACAAACAAACCTAGAAGTTGGGCTCTTGACTCCTGTGCTTGTTCTAAACAGTGGTGTTGAAGTTGAATCAAGGAGATATAAACAAGGAGGGGACAAACTATCATTGGGCTCTGTGGATATTCCCTTTTTTTGGTCAAAACTGCAGTAACTTTGCCATCTATGGTAGGGTTTCTATGGGTCTGTGAAGGTGTGGGCAGGAATTTAAAACAAATTTGAACCTATAAAAGCTAAAAATAAAACAGACATTCAGTGTGAACTTATACATCTGTGCTTTTAATGTCTCAGAGGCTTTGCTGTTGGACATTTGTAATTGTCTAATTCCCATGAAAATGTAAGGGTAAATTTGGTTAATGTGCTAATATCAGTACAGCTACAATTAAAGTTGTATTAGACTTGTTATCTAAAATATGAGCAGTTGCAGCTCCGGTGTCAGTCCCTCAAAATCAGAAAAAAGTTTCCTCACTCACATTCCTCAACAAGCATTTAACAGTTACAGAGGGAGAAATCTGCAAAAATAGTTAGTCAGAAAAACTAGAATCAGCTGATCTGAATAGAGCATACTCAGTAGAAATGTTTTGATAACAGTATAACTGCTGTTTTCTCTGTTTAAAATACTATTACTACACTATTTCACAAAAACTCAAATATAAATAAAGGAATAATAAATGTTCAAAAGTTCACAACTGTCAGAATGTGTGCAAAATGTAATAAATTATGAACTAAAGTAGAAGTGAGGAGTGAATATTATGATTGTGCCACAATTCAATCCATCTCCAGAAGTATAATTTCATTCACACAGACAAAACAAAAAAGTCTGGAAACCCTCCAGAGGAAAAATAAAGCAGTTTCCAACATATTTCATCTTAAAACAATGACTCACACTTCCTGCTCAGTGAGTTTCCTGTGAGGTAATAAGCATGTGTTTCCTCTCCCCATTTCCCCAGCTGTCCTTGCAGGAGGTGCTGAGTGGGGCGGGCGGAGCTCTGAGGAGTGAATATTATATTATATTTTGCCACATTCATCCATCTCCAGAAGTATAATTTCATTCACACAGACAAAACAAAAAAGTCTGGAAAACCCTCAGAGGAAAATATAAAGCAGTTTCCACATATTTCATCTTAAAACAATGACTCATACTTCCTGCTCAGTGAGGTTTCCCTGTGAGGTAATAAGCATGTGTTTCCTCTCCCCATTTCCCCAGCTGTCCTTGCAGGAGGTGCTGAGTGGGGCGGCGGAGCTCGCAGAGGTGGGGTTTCCTGTTGCCGAGGTAACAGCTCACCACTGGGCGAACTGGGTGGCTGCACTGAGAGACGCTGGGAAGGAACTAGGTGGAGACCTGCTAATTGACGGTCGTGCACCCAAATGTGGACAAGTATTCAGAAACCCTGCGCTGGCCCGGACCTTGAAGGTAAATCTGTAAAACTAAAACACAAGTTCATAGGTCATGTGAGGAGCACTGGGTCAGTTTTGTCTGAACTGGTGTTGTTTAGACAAAAAGGAAACAGAACAATGTAGGACCCCAGAGAAACTGCTGTGCTGGTTCCATGTCCTCCCAGAGGTTGTTTGCTTTTTCTAAACTTGACATAGCCTTCTATATGGGAAGACCTTGGATGAAACCAGGGGCATAGTGGGTAAATAACCCTGAACCCATTAGTGTGTTGGACTCAATATGGAAGGAAAACAAGGTAGATGGACGGAGGGAGGAATATAGAAAGTGCAGGAGTGGGCAAAGAGAATTAAACGATGTAAATAGGTGAAATTAAGGTAGAGAAGGAGGTATGCATGGAAAAAGAGGGAGTGGGGAGAAGTAGGAGGTGGATGTGGTAAAAACAAATAAATGTATTATAAGAATTAGATATAAAAAAAGTTAAAAAACTGAAGAAAAACAATCTATATCCACATTATATTTTAATATAACAGAAATAAATCAAACTGAATCGTGCTGGTTTTCACAGCATGTGTGTGTGTGTGTGTGTGTGTGTGTGCGTCACAAGGTCACTCAGCCCGTATACCTGACCATCAACAGACTTCTTCATAGTTAAACACACTTTTGAAATAGTTTCCAACAGAGTTTGGTTACAGTTTATTCAGATGTTGACAAGATCTCATAGTTGTAAAAGAAGCAAAACATCTACAGACCACTTCCTCAGCACAAATCCACTTCTCTACTACCGTCTGTAATATTAGAGTGTACCAAAAAGAACAAATAAAAGTGTTTTTTATGGACTTTTTGACACATTTCCCTACCATAAAAAAACTTTCCACGTGATACAGCTCATCACTTTAACCATTTTAAGTCGCGTGGCACATTTTTCCCAGGTCTTCTAATTTCATATCCATTCGGTGACTGTGCAACCATGATTGCTTATGTGTGTGTGTGTGTGTAGACAATGTGATATTCATAAAACCACACTCATTCTGTAGTTTCCTGTCAATGAGACTGCACTAGAAGGCGGCTGACCCCACCGTGTGTGTGTGTGTCTGCCTCTGTGTCACCATTAAAGCATGCATTGATTGACTCTCTTCTGTTTTACTACATCAAACACTCAGTCTTTAGTAATTCAATAATGCAGGAACACTGCCAAGTACACCCATGATAACTCCCTACACACACTCACACACACACACACACACTGAGACAGTAGAAACAATAGCAGTGACCTCAACCTCATTGATGGATGGTTTCCATGGCATCATAACGGTCATTCTTCAGCGGTGACGGTGTGTGTAACTTCCTTGTGGTGAAAAATCACACATTCAAACACACCATCTTGTTCATTTGATAACATTGACTGGACTGGTATTCATACACAATAATGGACACATCACCCGCATATCTTTCAAACTTGACACATGTGTGGCATTAGAACATATAAAACATCATATTTTTAATGTCTTTGCGCTTTGTACTGTGGCGTTAAAACACGTAGATGGACGGCAGGATGCAAAGAGAACAAACTGACTGATTGATTGATGGACTGATTTATTGACAGGAGCTGGGCGAGCGTGGCAAACCAGCTTTTTACCAGGGCAGAGTCGCCCAAGCCATCGTCGATGTCATCCACCGAAATGGAGGAGTCGTGACTCTTGATGACCTCAGCAGCCATGACAGTGAGGTCATCACCCCTATAAGCACAGAATACAAGGTGCGGTCAGGGACCATAGATGCTTATTGTATCTGTATTTGTAATATTATGGTCAACAGAGAGAATGACTCCATTGTGTGTTCAGGGTGTGCGTCTGTGGGAGCCTCCTCCTAACAGTCAGGGATTGGCTGCCCTGCTGCTACTCAACATCCTGGAGAACTTCCCGCTCAAAGGTATTCACTGGAATGCCGATACCGCATATGCAGCAACATATATATAGATAATAATACTACTACTACTTATAAGAATAATAATAATAATAATAATAATAATAATAATAAAGTGTATTTAGTGTAGCACCTTCACAAAGTGCTTCACAAGAGAAAACATATTAAAAATAAAAACAGAAAAACAGTAAACATTTTAGATATAGACAAAGGCCAATTTGAAAAAATGGTCTAGCTATTAGTCTGGTGATGTGGATGAGTCGAAATGTCTTTGAAAAAGTAAGGCTCATATTTAGAAAGACTATTTCATTGGTAGAAAGTGGTTGCAGTGAATACTGTTCACAATCTGTGGCTTATATAAAGCTGTTGAGGTTTTCAGATGCAATTTTATAACCTTTTGACCACCACAAGCAAAATTCCTTTCACCCTCATTCTGTTTGGGTGGCAGCAGACATTTTGGCTACTATGGTTAGTGTGTAGTTGTGAAGTGACCACAGATTTTGAGTTATCATAGGAAAAGCAGAGATGTAACTACAAACATGAATTATGGCTCATGAAGTGTCCTCTGTGAGCCATGACAGTGTGACAGTGAGTCAGCGTATGCAATACTAAGACACTGAAACAGTACCTGTGCTTTTTCTACTGCAACATGTTAAAAAATTGTTATTGTTGCTATTATGGCAAATATAATTGACTTCTCAATCAGAAACAAGGACAGCTCTGAAATTTTGACTCAGAACAACAACCCAGTGACAGCTGACTCACATACACGTCATGAGTCAATAGACGTCTCACACTCGTCTGATTTATCTTGGACAAAGACACCTCACAATGGTCAGGGGGAAAAAAAACAAATTAGTGTTAGTACAGTAGTAGTAGTACAACAAAAGAAGCATTTTTTTCTGTTTTAATGCCTTTGCCACACAATGTTGTATGTTTGAACAGACTGACTGAAAACTGATCTCTGGGTTGAGTGTACAGTATGTATCACATAATCATGATGTTGTTTTAATATTTATTTATGTGTGTGTGTGTGTGTGTGTGTGTGTGTGTGTGTGCGTAGCTGTGGGCCACAACAGCTCTGACTACATCCATGTACTGGTGGAGGCTGTGCGCTTGGCAATAACAGACGCTCTTCGTTACCTGGGCGACCCAGACCATGTGACCATCCCTCTGGAAACCTTACTGGACAAGAGTTACAGCAACCTGCGAGCACAGCGCATCAGCATGGAAAGGTGTGTGTGTGTGTGGGTGTGGGTGTGTGTGTGTGTGTGTGTGTTCGTACCAGTGTGTACCAGTCGTGTTCTGTTGATTTTAGATAAGACTGTAGACTTTTACTTCCCCCCGACCTTAACATCCCATCCCTTAATGCTACGGTCCCTCCTCCACTGCTCTGTCTGATGTGTGTGTGTGGGTACATGTATGCCTGTATGTTTTTGGCAACTATGTGTATTTACTGGTTAATACTGTAGACTTTGAACTGTAGGTCTTTATCAGCTGTAATACAAATAGGCAAACAGACTATAAAAGTATAAAACAACATAATGACAGCGTGCACACATATATTTTATGTGTTACTAAATCCTGCTGTTGTTGCTGTTGTGTTATTCTTATACTATATTATTTATTGTTTACATTGAAATGTATGAAGGTGTGGCACTGCATTAGACAACACATACAAATTCATCATTCACTAGTCTTACACTGTCCATTCAGTGCCACCTAACTCAACCTTAATGATTCAACCATCACTTGATTAAATGTGAACTGGGACTTATTGTCTCTTAGTAACACCTATGAGACAACACAGATAAGAAAATTATTGTCTCATTAAAAGTGTTGTCACAGTCATTATGTTTACATGCACATTATAATAATAAACCAGCTAACTGGGAAGAATCTGAGGCACTACCATAACCTGGTTACAGTAAAACCTGTGTATACATGCGATATTTGTCAGCCAACACCCAAGGATATTTTTAAACCAAGGCTGGCATATGGTTTATTAGTGATATATGACACTACGGCCTGAAGAGCTTCTTTGTTCTGTTTGGATCATTAGGACTGACAGTGCTGTGAGAAGACTATTGAAGTGATTGCCAGTGCTTCCAATGCACAAGGTTGGCAATTGGGGCCTTGTGCTTCTACTTAAGACCTTTATTTTCTTATATTTGATGCAAATATTATTTTTATAAAGTAGTAGTTACCAGCTTTGCCCTTATTATTTATATGTCAGTGCATTTCAAAATTCAAAGGAATACTCATTTTTGTTACATATTATATATGCTAATGTGTTTTTTTGGGCAAGGGGTTAGATGGTAAGCTTGATATAACTCTTGTGTGCTAAAATATGTAGCATGTAGGTAACAGGTAGCCTGGCTCTGTTCAAAAGTCCACCTACCAGTACCTCTGAATTACTAATTAACATGTAATATCTTGTTTATTTAAATCTGTACACAAACCAAAGTGTAAAAAAGATAAGTTGTGGTTTTGCAGTTTCTCTGTGCTTCCAGTTTTTATGTTAAGATAAGCTTACTGGCTGTTGGCCATAACGTTATAGTTACCATACAGACTAGCGTTAATGATCTTCTTATCAAAACACAAAGCGCATTTCCTCAAAATGTCGAACCATTGACATTAAGATATCCAAGCTTATGAGTTTTTTTCAAACAGAATCAATATATGCCAAGAAAAGTGGTTTAAGTCACTGAAACCACTGTATGTATTTTATCTTGTCTATTATTTACTTGCTGTTGTTTGTTTGTTCTTTGGCCGCACAGCTTTATCCTCCTTTCCAGATATGATACATTTTAATAACTGCAAAGAAGCAACAGCTACAACAATAATGGTTTGTGGTTTGTGCGTGTTTTTAATGATTGTTTGTATATATTTGTAGGGCCATGGAAGAAGTGGAGCCTGGCCTGACGACAGGAAGCGACACTGTCTATTTCTGCGTGATCGACAGTCAGGGCAACGCCTGCTCGTTTGTCAACAGCACCTACATGGGCTTTGGAAGTGGGCTGGTCCCTAAGGATTGTGGATTCTCCCTACAGGTCTGAGGGGTCAGAGAGAAAGTGCATGTTTGTGTGCATGTGAGGTAGTGATAAGTATGTAAAGCTGACATACTGTGGATGGCAACACCAATGGATCTATAACATATATATCTTGGTGCTATAGCGCTGCACAATTAATTGAAATATTATTAAAAGTGCAATATGTGAATCACAGAAGCTGCAATTTTTTGTAAAAGTGTGAACTGTGAACAGCATAAAGAAGTACAGTAGTTCTGAAGCGATGCCCTGGGCTGCAAATGTTCTTCTCTGAATGTCAGACAACGTGTTTGTTTGGTATAGACCATCATCAGGATTTTTCCCACACATCGTATCGCAAATGTGTCACAAATGATTGCAATATGATATTTTTTACCATATTGTGCAGCTCTAGGTGCTAACCTGGAAGCATTTTTAAGACATATGAAGACGGTTGACAAATTAAAGGAAAAACCTGAATGAATGAGTGGAGAAAAATGACAAATGCTTTCATACAGGACACGAAGAGTCATTTAAAGACTTGATGAGAATGAAAATGATGTGAATCAATTGAACACCTGTGGGAGAATGGAGAGAGTTCCAGAGTCTAGTGTGGCTTTTTCCTTTAAATTGTCCTATACCTATACATGCTGAAGCAACATGATAATATGCATTGACCTTCATTTCCGTAGAACTTATCCACTGCAAAAGTAGAGTTTCCAGACTGCTTTCACAAAAAAACATGAATGAGGAGACTGAAAGGTTAAATTTCTGGTCATCATTATATTGTATTTTATAAAATCTCTTTTTTACCTCTTACAGAATCGTGGTGCCAGCTTTTCACTGCGTCGCAATCACGTTAACTGTGTTTCTGGGGGGAAGCGGCCATATCACACCATAATACCTGCACTTCTCACAGACAGCACAACCACATCACAAAAACCACGACTCCTCGCTGCACTGGGGGTGATGGGGGCTTTTATGCAACCGCAAGGACATGTCCAGGTACTGTGTGATCAAGAATAGACTGAGTATAAAGTACAAAAAACTTTATGTCCCTTTTATTTTATTTATTTTATCTCTCTTTTGTTTTTGAACATTAACTTTTGATTTATCTGTTCATAAATAAGATGCTGTTGGTTATTTTATAGTCGGATTAGCGATTGGAGAAATTGTAACTGGAAACACAAATTTAGATTTTTAGTCTTGATTGTCTGAATGGCTGAAACATACCCGGCTTTAATTATGGTTCAGTTTCATGAGTGCAATGTGTTACTGAGTTACTAACTAATGTTGCTCTTGTGTTTAGGTGTTGTTGAACATGTTGGAGTTTGGGATGAATCCTCAACAAGCTCTGGACTCACCAAGAGTTTATGTACAGTATGACCACAAAAGTATGCCCCGCTCTCCCTAACACACACACACACACACACACACACACAGATTCTGTATAGTCACATATAGAAAGCACTGTGGTGGTAAAAACATTATTTACATTTAAATATCAAATATTTATGCTGTAATTAAATGCCAAAGTTCTTGTTTGTGTAGCTCTGTACCTCCTCATATGGTAGGATGGTGGTTGAATGAATTCCACTCTCTCTACTGTTAGATGACATTGTAAACTGTAACTTAATTTGTATACAAGATGAAAATTATGGGGATTTTTGGAAAAAGGACAGTGTATATGTGTCTTGAGTCCTATGCTCATGTAAAGGAATTAAAATTATATTCTGATCAAACACTCTGTCTGTCTAGCTGATCAGTGGTTGGTTAATCTGGAGGAGGGGGTCGACCAGGAGGTAGCCGAGGAGCTGAGAAGACGGGGTCACAAAGTCAACTGGCCTATCACAGGTATCTTTTTATGTAACTACTGTTTGCAGTGGATGCATTGTATTTATTTACAGGATAAGTATGACATATAGACCATTCATTCATTCATTCATTCATTCATTCATTCATTCATTCATAAAACATAAAACCAACAAAAAGAGCCAACAAGATCTCTCTGAAACTGCCGTGTTTCATGATTTTCATTTGTTTCTCTGATCACATAATAAATAGGTGGTACATGTAGCCTACTCAAAAGTTAATGTTTTACATTATATTGATGTATATTAACGGCCATAAACAAATGTCAGTGGAATAACGCCGTAGTTCCCATAAACAATGTGGCTTCCTGTTGCAAACAGGATGTTTTTATTTGTTCCTCTTCCCTACCCTGGCATCATTCTGGGTAAGTTAGTTGGTCACTGGCTTTTCTGAAGAGTTCAAACGTTTGAACTTTTTCCTTTGTTCATTCTGGAAGACCAGTCCGACACACCCATCATGTTAACATCATGTACTACTGGGCTTTAGACAAAAGAAGAAGCTTATACTTGTCAATGCTCTTGGTCATTTTATCTCAAAATGAATGCTGTAATGAGATATAGATGGACAACATGTTGCACCTTTAATGAAATCAACTGTATGGTGCTGAATACCTGGAATTAATTCATGTTAATAATAATTTCAGTTATAGAAAAATACAAAGTAAAACTAACTTGTTCTTCCTAGCTGCCTTAACCTGTTTACTATTATTGCTTTCAATCTAACCAGAGAAGCCATTGTGAGCTTTTATATGCATGTTTTGGCCT